CGGCAAAAAGTGAAAGCTCCCTTCTGTCATTATCTTTCTGCATAGGCTGCCATCAGAAGGTAATGCCCACATTAGAGTAGGTCTTCCAGCTTCAAATAATTCCGCCAAGAAGGTCTTTCTCACTTCAGTTAACTCCAGATCCAGTCAAGATGACAATCAAGATTAGCCATGACAAGTCCACCCCTTGTCAACTTGACACCCAATTGTGCTCATTATGCCATGCTAAACTTTCAAATGAAAGCAGTGGCAGGGTCATAACTCCACCTGACATGATTTATGAGGCCCAGATGAGGGCATTGCACCTGTTTCTCAGCCCTGGTGTATCTAATAAATTCTTGGACATGGATTTTCTGATATTTTAATACTTTAGCAATATTTACTGTCCCCCTACAGTCCTGATTTGCCAGGAAAATTTTAAAGGGTGGTATACTTTCCACTCCCAGGAATAAGTTGTGCCATGTGGGTGGTGCTGCTCACAAATCTACCAGGTGTAGAGTGAATATCCTCCATCTTCAGAATGGGGTCAAAGGCTGCTTATAAAATGGAATCTCAGCCAGGTGTGGTGGCGCATGTCTTTAATCTCAGCACTGTGGAGACAGGTGGACCTCTATGAGATAGAAGCCAGTCTAGTCTACATGGTGAGTTTCAAGTCAGCTGGGGCTACAGGAGTCCCTGTCTCAAAATAAAATAAAATAAAAAATAGTAATGGAATCTCTCCAGGCAAGACACAGATAAACTACTGCTTTATACAATACAGAGAACTTAGGGCAAGACATTGCCTGATCTCAGTGTTCCCTTCCTCCTCTCTCTGTATGTCTATGCAATGTGATAGTTGTATTTTGTTTTGGATTTTCTACAGGGGTGTTTTAAGATATAGAAATATTCCTAAATCCTGACAGATAATCCCTTCTGAGCCCCAGTACAGAATCATTTTGTCCTGATCTATGGATACACTTTTCCCTGTGATTTCTCCTGATTTCTGCTTTCCGAGAAAGGGAAAAAATATGTCAAAATTAAGTCAGCATCCACAGAGCAAAAGAAAGACATCACAGTCTTTATTTGTTTGATTTTTGTCCTGAAGCAATTTCCTTGGGGCTTGACATGACCAGAGGCCGTCATGGAACAGGATTGCTGTCTGCCTATAGAAATTTTGTTTGTTTTTTTTGAGGGGGGGGGTTGTGGTCTTTTTGATCTGCCTGCCTCTTCCTCCCAAGTGCTGGGATTAAAGGCTTGTGCCACCACGCCCTGCAAGAGTGGTTTTTATTTGTGGCTAGGCAGTGAAAGTTAGGTCTGAGATTTCTAGTAAAGGTGGCAGGGCTGTTAATACTTCTTGTAGAAGAGGTGGAGGAAGTGCCATCAGACCTTCACCTGACATTCCAGCCACCACTCCCTCCTGGCCTCCAGCTTCACATGACCTCCGGGGGCTGCTGGAGAGTGTGAGCAATGGAAACTGAGAACTCCAGTGATGTAGCATTGTGAGGCTGTCACTCATAGAGAAGAGGTGGAGGAAGTGCCACCAGACCTTCACCTGACATTCCAGCCACCACTCCCTCCTGGCCTCCAGCTTCACATGACCTCCGGGGGCTGCTGGAGAGTGTGAGCAATGGAAACTGAGAACTCCAGTGATGTAGCATTGTGAGGCTGTCACTCACAGAGAAGGGTTTTGTGGTGATGCAGGTGCTGTGGGGTCACTCATGTTCCTGAAAGTATTTCCATTCTCAACCTCATGGAAATACCTCCAATAAATTCAGCAGTTTGCTAAGTTGGACTTAGAATCATTTCATTGTCTTGGGGTGTCCTGCATGGGGTGAACAGATGTTTTTCACACCTCTGCCAAAAAGTCAGACAAAAATGTTTCATAAGCCTGATCACTCAGTGAAAAAGAATTATAAGCCTTATTTATCACTCAGGGTAAAAGAAATGCAGTGGTACCTGATGCACAGTGTACCGTTAGGTGGCAAGGTGGAAACAGTAGGCTTGAAGGCCACTGCGGAGGGTAGGCTCCAGGCTTACAGTCAGCTTTGGTTCTACCTCTTACGTCCCTGTGACACACGAATCTTCCAAGTGAAAACCACAAACTGGAAAAGAAGGGAGAAAGCATCACAAGATGCTATAAGAGGGGCAGGGAGCAGCTTGCTTTGTTGAGGCCCCTAAGGGAAAGCTGATTCCTTGTGGTACTGCATACCTATTATTATGGATTTGTTTATTTTATTGCTTTAATTCTTCTAAATCCATTGTTATATGATTTTTCAGTCAAAAGAATAGGACCTGAGTAATCTCTCTGGCCCTGGATGGAGAGATGACTTTCTGAACTCTTAAGATTAGAAGTTCACTAACCAGTGAGAGGCTTTTTGGAAAAAAATGAAGACATTTGGAGCTAATCCAAATGGGTCTGTCGATCACCTGTATAGGAAAACACCCCTCAAGATGCTGTCTGTTCCTAGAGACTTTAGATAATAGTATATAGCCTACCTAAACCTATAGGCTTTCCCTGGCCAGTGTCCATTCTCTCCTTGTGAAAATGTTTTCCTTCACATGGTTCCTTCATGTACTCTACATGGTGAGAGTGTCTACCTCAGTCAGTGAGAATGGTTTTCTCTACAATGGCACTTTTGGTCATCGTCCACTCTCATGAGAGTACCTTCTCCTCTCCTTTGGCCTTTGGTCATTTTCTGCCCCCACCCTGTGGGGGTGCTTTCCTCCACATGGTCCCTTTGCTGTTGCCCATGTTCACCCCATGAGTGTGTTTCCGTCTGCAGTGGTTCCTTTGGTCCTGGTCTGCTCTCACGGTGTGGCAATGTTTTCTTATGCAGGGGTCCCTTTGCTATGGTGATTGGTTCCCTGTGCAATGGCACCTTTAGTAGTTGCCCTCTCCCACCCCGACAGTGTCTCGTGGAATTCTGCAATAAACTCTGTCTTCTACACTACATTGGGTTTCTTGCCTAAATTAATTTGATAGAGAATACAAGGAATGGGGAGCTGAGGGGCAGTCAGAGAGCGAGACCCCAGAAACAGCAGGATGAGTATGTAGTGGGAAAGCACTCTGGATGATGAAGCAAGAAACTATGATATGGAGCAGACAGGTTAGTAGAGAAGGCTAGAAGACAATATTCTATGAACACAGAAATTGTAATGTGCTGAATCATAGTAGAAAGTCTCCATAGTTCTCATATTTTGCTATAATATTATAAAAACCAAGAGAAGGAAGACAACACAACAAAAAGGCAAGATTGAGGACTTTAGAGCTAGCTTAAGCTGGTTTGTCCTGTGTTGCAACTGTGGTTTGACATGTTGTAGCTGGGTTAGTATCTCTGAGCTTTTTGTCCTTTTCTGTAAACCTGGGGGAAAATGCATGGTTCTTATGAAGACAAGAAACTGAGATAACATTGTTTATATCCAGTAGGTATTAAATATCTAGAAAATTAAAACGTACTGCTACTAATATTACAATTTATTTTAATCTACTAGGCATTCATTAAAAATATGAAAATGAAAAATATATTAAAATGTTTGTTGACTATATGCCTGATGAACTATGTGAAAAACAAAAGTTTTCTGCCATAACTCCAATGAAGACAAGAGCAAACCTGTCGTATGGAGCGTGAGTTGAGACAGAAGATGAAAACGTTTCCTTTCTCTATTAATTCTACAAAAATATACTTATCACATCTATTTGATAAGCATGTACTTGGTGGCATGTGGCCTGCAAAGACAGTCAGAGTACAGCCCCTGGCTTCTAATAGTTCCCATGCATGATTGTTCCCAAATATCCACAAGACAAAGAAAATGATTAGAAAAGAGAACTAACATGTACTGACTTATTTTGTGTTGAGCATTATGATAAAAAATTTCCATAGAGTTACAAATTATTATTCTATGATTACCAAAGTGCAAGACAGGCTAAATCAGCTCTCTATTCATACATGTAAAAAACAGTAGGGTTGGGAATTGTGAGGGTTTGAATGAGAATGTCCCCCATAGGCTCCAAGTATTTGGACATTTTGTCCCCAGTTGGTGGCTCTGTTTTGGGAGGTCTTAGAAGATGTGGCCATGCTGGAGGAAGCACGTCACTGGGGGTGGGCTTAGAGAGTTCTTAAGCTTTGCCAGGTCTCCAGTTGCTCTCTTGCTTCCTGTGCCTGCTTGAAGATGTAGAGCCTAGCTTCCCCTACTTTTCCAGCCACCCCTGCCACCATGCCTCCCCACCATGTGAACTCTTGCCCCTTTGGACCCATAAGCTCAAATAAACTCTTCCTTCTATAAATTGCTTTGGTCAGTGTTTCCGTCACAGCAACAGAAAAGTAACTAATACAAGAAGTATTCAAAATAATTTAAGTCAGAGACTATCCCGTAAGACAAGAAGGTAGAGGAAAGAGGAACTCATTTGATCCTGAAGAATATAGAAGTCTTTTAGTTGGGTCACTGAATAACCAGTGGGATTTTCACAGTAAGGAGGAGGGGATGCACTGTTAATAGAAGAAAGAGCATAGACTGAACCAGGGGGAGGGAGGGCATGCAGCACAGCTGACATCACCAGGGGCTGGTGTGATGCATTTCCACTTCACAGGAAATTACAGAGGGAAGTCTTAGTTCCTAAATTCTGATCGCTCCTTTGAGTCCATCTCTACTTCTTATTTTTGAATCACATGGGATTAATGGGAGTACTTTTGGAAACAGTCTCGATCTTTCTTTTATAGTGAATGTAAAATATAGACATTTAGTCTCTGGAAGGACAAGATGAGAATAAAGAAAATATCTTCTTAGCTGGAAAAAAAGGGGAAAAGACATGTATTTTTAAAAACCTGAAGTACATTTCAGTGCATTTGCTCCAAAAGTCTCGAAATAAAATCCTACATACCAGAAAGATGTATTTATTTCTTAGTGGATAGCAGGGATTTAACTGTGTCTTTCAAAAAAAAAATCTGTGACCGTCTAGGATATAAGAACATGACCTTTGCAAAGAACATGACCTTTGCAAATAGCATCCTTTCTCATCATTTCAGATGGAGTCCTAAGGATCACGGTGACCATCAGTCCAAAAGCAGCACCTTGTAAGAAAGTCATGTGGAAACAGAGGCGCTTGCAGAGGGAAGGTGGCTGTGTGAAGACAGCAGCAGGGATGGAAAAGA